TTGACCCCTGTACCATTGCTGGCAGGATTTGATGCGCACAACAATGAATGGTAGCGACCGTTGCAATACGGTTCGGCGTATCTCCATCGAGCCCTCAATAATTCACTAGCACTACTTCATCTGCGTCCCAGTCTATTGAGTCGTCCAGCGAAGAGACACTCGCCTCCTCATGATCTTCCGGTGACTGCTCCTGACCATCGCTTCTGTATCCGGAGTGTGTGACGGGAGGATGTAGAGCGTGCAAGCGCTGCTCAACACTTAGTTTGAATCGACCGACGTAGTCCGAGAAGCGGATCATCCTCACTTCGTGCGAGCTATACAGAGGTCAGCACGTCATCTAGGAGCGAAGGTCCGAGTAACTTACTCTCGCCGCAAGATCCCAGACTTCTGAAGTCTGTCATAGTCCCAGAACACATAGCCCCAGTCTCGTAGACCTTTGTACGCAGGATCGATAAGTCTTGATGGCTGTAGATGATGATGGGCCCATAGCCAGCCTTGGGGAAGCTCTGAGTAGCCATTCTCATCACATGCTGGGCTAAAGTCTTTCTCTGTGTCCAAAAAGCGTTGGCAATCACGGCGGGCATCCGGGTTGAGGCCTAAGCGCTCAAACGCCCCGGAGAGGAAGTCTCCCTCTAGATGATGAAGCACAGAGCTGGAGACGTAATGGAGAAACAGGTCTCGCTGTTCATTCCCAGTTGATTCAAGTATTTGACGAATGTAGGGTAGCCCCAGCGACATGAGGTGTTCCAAGTGCTCTTCTTGTTCGTGTTGAGCACGGTTGGTAAGCATGTAGAATGGCGATTCCCACATAGCTGATTCATCGGATTCCTCAAAGGTCATTGCCTCGATTGGCAGAGTTCGCACAGCCTCGTCCTCTATTCTGTCGTAGATGCCGCGTAAACGGCGGAATAGGTAATCTCTAATGCATGCTATCTCAGAGATCTGGAATGCGGGTAAGTCCTCAAGAAACATTTTTGCCTGCTCTGCAGTGGTTAGAGGCGGATCTCTGATGCATTGGTGGACGCCATTGGAAAAGTCCTGTGTACAGCGAGAGAAGAGGTGCCTGTAGAGCTCGAAGCGGCAGAAGGCCCTTTGGAGTCTCCCAATCTCGGTGGTTGAAAGATGAAGTTGTTGGACGTGATTGTACTCCGGCAGAATTCTACAATCTTGGGAATGTCCTAGCTGATCCAGCACGGGAAGAGTGTTTTGAGCATAGTCGTCTATGAATATTTTGACAAGTCGATCAAGCTTGCATAAATTTGTTGACAAGGATCCTGAGGCATTTGATTCGTACCACCGATGTATCTGGTCGGGGAACGTGTCGCAGAAGCTCACGGCGGTATCTCGTTGTGACTGAGTATCTCGTTTTGACTGGTGCTGGATCTGCGCCAATTCTGCAAGGGCCACAGCTTCTGGCTGCACAGCCGGGTGGAATTGACATAGCGCTATTGTTAAAAGAGTGGTTTCTTTGTTATATCGAAAGACTTGGTAAAGGCGGGGTGATGCGCGGATGAGAGCATATAGAATATCAAGGGTACCTATTTGCAATAGAATCTGCTGCTGTAGCTCTGGTGAAAGCAGCTCTAAGGCGCTTTGTCCGGGCATAATGATGAAGATGAGTGAGCTCAGCGAATGCACAGAAAACCCGAAACCCAAGTTTTGAGGGTGTATTGGGAGGATCTCGGAAAAGGGCTTGTGTAAGCGGCCTGATTGGTGAAGAGGGAAATGGTGTTGATGTTTGTGGCGTGTAAATGTGTTGTAAGTCGGGTGAACGATTCTCAAGAGTCACGGGCGCTTTGCTTTGCCTTGGCAGCCGAAGGAGCTAACTTAGAAAGGTTAGATCGGTGGTTAACCCGTGAAGTCGAAAGCTTGGCGCTTTTCAGCCGTTCACTTGCAGGAGAGGGAACCAGATTTTTTAACCATCACCAATCACAGCCTACAACATTTTCATGGCTACGTAGTCACAGAACTAGCTGAATGAGGAGACGATCCTCACTATATCTGTCACTCCTTAGTAAGACACTCAGCTCATGCTCCATTTTTGAGCTTTCACACCCGCACAGTGAAGGACGAAAATGCTAAGATCCGGAAAGGCGCCTGCACAGTGAGAAAATAATAAGCACCGCAACACCATTGTACCAGCGCCATTAGGAATCGAACCTAATACGAACTAAATACTCCCAACAGCACAGTGCCAAGTGATACTAGCCTAGGAGGTCAGTTGAAGGACGTATCGAACACCGATAGAGGATAGACGTAATTTAATGACACTTGCGTAGGGAGATGACTGTATAGCTATCATCGCTTGGCCTACCAAAGGTGACAACTGGGATGGGCTTTGATTCCGTTACTATTTCAAAGTACTCCAATCACAAATTCGTATAGGAGCTTCCCCGTGTCCAGTGACCAGCTTTGTGTTGAGCACCGAAGGTAGCAAGAGACGCATCTCGGCGTGGCGAACTGCAGTCGGTAGGGAAGCGCCGTCAGCAACTGGCTAAAATCATGCAGGTTTGAGAATAGTTTCACTATGGACAGGCTCGCCCCTCTTACTGGTCCCCATTGTTCCTCTTGTACCGTCACTGTTTCCTATAGGTAGACCTTGAGGAAATGAGGCAGCTGATCAATAGCGTTGGTAAAGTGCACGCCGAGGTGAATTGTCTTCCGATCCACTAACAACACACATCATGCTGGCTTGATTCGGAAGGCTGTGACTGCTAAGAAATGACTAGATAAAACAGAGTCGAAGCTCGTTTCCTGGCGTTATTGGATTGATCTGGGCTACTATCCCCGCTTCCGGGAGGCTGATCATCATAAAGAGCGCTCGTTATCACTATAAAGATTTCATTTTTCTTCGCCATAGCCACTCCCCCGATTCAGGAAGAAAACAGACTCTCATTATCCCAAGAGACTTCACTGGTAAATGCTCGAAGTCGCCGTCTCCATGAAGCGCGATCGTCGTTCTGGTGAGGGCGGACACCACCAAAGAGGCCCCGACTTGCCAACTCGTACCCAAGACTGGGCCTCTTTTCGGCAAAACATACCATATCCTTCAGACTCAGAGGAAAGCTTTGCCCGCCATCACGCAGAACGATACGGAGATGAAGAACTCTTGGTGGACGGGCAGCACACCGGCAGCCCCCATTTTCCTCGCCGTAGCGAGAGAGCCAGAATTCATGCGGAATATACAACCAGCAATCGGCAAAGAGACAGAACACGGGAAGCGTACGGCGATACATTAAAACCAGCAACAGAAGAATATGAGAGTCTTAGCTACAACCAGCGCGAATACTACGACTCTACCTCAGGCGGTATGCTTCCACGTCATCATGCTACCCTCTTGCCTCTCGCCAGGGACCGGGAAGGCCCCAACTACCAGTAAGCTACTCTGTGTCTCAACAGTCCAGGTTATACTGAGGTAATCTAGCAACGCGACCAATCGAGAAAGACTTCTGACCATGGAATACGGCTACCACAGTGCGGAGGCCCAACAGCGGCATTGGAAAAGCGCGGACAAAGCCTATCAGGAGCATGAACAAGTTCAAGCTGATCATGCTCGACACCGAAGATTCCGATCGTAAGTATTACACCCCAATGTACCAGTGAATAGACATTTCTTGCAGTTTTTGCGACATACTGAAAGAAATGCAGCGACCCCAGGGACGACGACACAGTAGACTGCTATAGCAATAGCCCAGTACAAAGTACTGAACCGCATACCAGGAGCAGGAATCAGGGTCTCCCACCGCCAGGTTATTACTGTGACAGGCTGGACACGCCTCCCGAAGAGGATGATGATGGGGCAGGCGAGGCATATGGCGGTCGCTGAGGGCAAGAAGCCTCGAGAAGGGAGGAGGGAGGACTGTTTGCGACGACCAAACTGTGACCTTGCTTTGTTTATTCAGAAGCGGTGCTTGATTAGCTATTGCACCTGTCCTGTCTTTATTCCACGAGCTTTCTGCGGACTTGATCTGAACTTTTATGCCAGCGAGCTGAAGATGGGCATTTGCTATATCGTAAGGCCTTTGTAGAAAAAGCAAAGCATTACGAATTGAGAGAATAGAGATGAAGAAGCAAGTGATTTTCTGGATGTTCTTATCGTAGCTTTCGTCGAGGTTTGCCTAGGCGGCCTACAAACACATCGATTAACTATCATTAATATAATGAAAGTCGCTGCCAAAATGATCTCTTTGGCGGTGAAAGCTCCCTAAATTATCCTGTGCCTTTCCCCCCATCACTAGGGCCAGACCCCTCCACATTCAACCGCGATATGTGCTGATCTCTGAACGGCATGTTTGTTTTCCGGGCAAGGAGGGGAATGGGTGATGGGCAGTCTGCCATGAGCTCATTACAGATAGAAGACTACAACGAAAAGTTAACACGGCTATGCAGAATCTACGATGGGCTTCGACTCATACCATCCTTGCCTCAATCGCAGTATCCACCCGTGGGTAGCTCCGCTTTGTTAGCAGTAGGTTATATTGGTTCATGATTGCGATCGAGGACTGGAGAGAACGGAAGCATATCAGGTAACGTTGCGCATGCCTTTTGTGCTTCAAGGAACATTGAGAAGTCAACACTGCTTGAAAGTCCTTGTTGGCCATCAGTATCAAATGATGGCCGGACTGATTGCATCACAAGATGTTCGATAAACTCTCAGAGGATTGCTGGCGCGAGCGGATGCCTACTGCCTGCAGAATGGCAATCCCAGCCTCCCGGAGCCATTTCCCTGCCAACGAGAGGGCTAATGGCAGCTTGTAGGTCGCATCTTTGTCTTGCGTTCCTACTTCAACCTGGCTGCCTTGTTCACTCCACTGGCATCCCTTGTTCATCATGTTCTTCTTGTTCATCGTCTTTGAATTTAGTGAGAGATGGTTTGGGGCCGATCCAGCGCTCGTGGACACTTGGCTTTTTATTCGCCAGATAGTCGTCGAACTCGATCCGTCCCACATCGCGCGGACAGTACAGAAGTCAGCTTCGCACTGTACGTAGAATAGGGACACTTACTCCAGGTCTAGAATACCGGTCTTCTGAAGCCTTTCTAGATCCCAGAAGACATAGCCCCAGTCCCTCAGGCCTTTGGCAGTCACGTCCACAAGCCCATGGTAATAGTCTCCGGTATGTGCCCATAGCCAGCCAGGAGGAAGATCCAGCTTGCCGTTCTCGTCTAAGCAGGAATCTATATCTCTTTCGTACCAACCGTACTGATCGTCATTGCTGTCCAAAGGGTCAAGACCGAGAGCTGCTGTGATAAAATTTGTCTGGTGATGGGCATAACAGCGGGATTCAGTGTGAAGCAGCAGGTCTTGACGCTTATCGCCAGTCGATTCCAGAATTCTACGGATGTAAGGTAGTCCAAGTGATAGAAGGTATTCAATGTGAGAGTTCTGCATGTATTTACCGCTGTAGCCAAAGATATGCTCGTCGTCTGCCAGATATTGATGGCGCCCCCCATTATCCCAGTCCCAGTCGAGTCCCTCGTACTTGTCTCTGGGGTCAGGACATCCGGCCTGCAGTTTCTGTACAACCTCATCTTCCACCTGATCATGTACACCTCGCAAACGGCGATACAGGTAGTCTCTAACACAGGCGATCTCGGCAGCTTGGTAAGCTGGCATGTCTTGACAAAACATTTTCGCTTGTTCATAAACGGTCAGAGATGGTTCACCAAAGCACTGTCGGGGACCGTGGTTGAAGTCCGAAGAACATTGGCTAAAGAACTGTCTGTAGGTCTCGAATTGGCTGAAGGCTCGGTGGAGACGATTCGACTCGCTCCTTGAGATATCTGATCTTGGCCCATGGGGATTTTGCTCGTACTCGGTTTCGATCGTAACAAATCCTGATTGTCCTAGCTGCCCCAGGATGGGAAAAGTATTCCGCGTGTAATCATCGGCGAAGAACCTGATCGTTCCATCAAGCCTGCCCAATGTTGTCGACACGGGCAGCGGAAGGACTATATCCAAAGAATCGTCTAGTTCATCCAAGGTAGAGAACATGCGAAGTAGAGTGTCTCGTGAGAATGGTGGTTGTTCGATGGAGTATAATCTCTCGATGGCTTGAGCGGCTCGTGTTGTAGCAGGGTCAAACCGCTGACGTGTCACCGTTGAGAGAATAGTCCTTTTGTTGAGTCTGAATACTTGATACATACGCGGTGATGCATGGATAAGGGCTTGTAGATCGACAAAGTCCAATCGTAAGAGGATTTGCTGTTGCACCTCAGGCAGAAGCAGCTCCAGCGCGCTATGGCCTGACATGACAAATGTGTGTAGAGACCACAGAAGGAATAGCAGATAGAAAGGAAGTTGTAGATTCCTGAATATGATGTTGATGAAGGATTTGGTGGAGACAAGGAGAAGGTTTCGTATTGTTTGTGAGATGTGAAATGTTGAAGCAATGAGCCGTGAGGAACCTAGGGTTTTCGTGAATTATTACCTTGAAATACCTTAAATTATTACCTTACAAGCGCTTGGCATCGGTCGAGCCTGATCAAAAACGGTTAGCGTGAGGGCACGAAACGCTTCGCTGCAGAACGTTTCATTTCTTTCCCAATCATAAGATGAAGGTGGATGGAAAGGTTTGGACTGCGCTCATTCTAGAGTCAAGAATATGTTTGATGTCCAGATGTCGGATTGTAAAGTAATTACTCTTCCAAGGAATCATTTGTCGACCTCTAGTCAACAAGTAAACCGAACATGAAGTGGGAGAAAGACATCTAGCCCAAAGAAACCAAAAATTCCCTGGGCTTTTTGGAACGCAATGGGCGAAGAATGACTGTAGCCCGGCGTGGGGAATTGTAGCGGGTGGGTAAGCTCTGCTGATAAATGGCCTGGGATGATGCAACGTTTGTGCCTTCATTATTATCGAGAAATCTTTAGTCCGACTCGCTGAACCCCACCCATTGTCCGGCTCACTCGCTCGGGTATGGATGCTTTTTGGGAAGAGCCGCTTGGCTACTGCTCGGCTTCTCACAACCAGCATGGACCCCTAATTCCTCAATAACACATTTCCTGGTCCTGGTACGATCGTAATCGAAGCGCCCATTGATTTCCACCAAAGAAAGCCTGCGGATGACGAGTTGTTCCCCCTTGTGATTGACTCATTTTGCCCCATCCCAAGCTTAGAATGCCATAATCCTGGGAACGTGACCACCCGCAACCCGTAAAATGTGGGCCAAGGATTCCGACCTTTGCACTGATTCGACAGCGACAACTCAGTCTATCTGCATGAGAGCAACCTGGCGCTAGGTTGACCACTGATACTGGCTATTATCCTCTCGTGATCTCACTCTCTAGGTCATGCCACCGCGCTGAATCTTACGATATATCGTCCGTTCTACTGCGCATACCGGATTAGCTTCTTGTTACGCAGTAAGACCCTAGTAGCTCTATGATTCTCCAATGAGGGGAATATCGCAGAAAGGGATGCTTAAAAGGTACATTACCGAGCACTTGGCCCCCGTCTGTCGCTTCCCTCGTGCATCGATGTAAACCAAATCTTCTTAGTTCTAGGAATCCTTATTGATTATCGTTTGATTTCCTCGTTCACTATGACGGACCGTGACTGGAATGTGGTCAATAGCCGCCGTGAACGGAGA